CCCCAGCCCCGCCGCAAGCGGCTCGGCAGGGAGCGAGCGGCGCCAGCCCGAGAGGATGCCGTTCAGGTGCTTTTCCAAACAGTCCGTCCCTGTCACAAACAAGCCCGCCCGAGGTACTCGGGAGGAAGAAAACCCGGCAACCACATCTCCTCGTGGGTCAGTCCGTCACGCATCAACCCACCAAGGCAGAGACAGGGAAAGGGGCATCTCCAGAATGATTCTTCCTACCAGTCCACCCTGACCGTGGGAGCACTGGAAAGTTTCACCTACAGCCCAGCATGCAAACGCTTTGAGCTGCAGGAGGAAGGGTGAAGTTGGAGCAGATAAGAGTAAGTCCACACTAAATACTTGGGAGGAGAAGAACAGTAATTTCCTCACACAAAAGCAGTAAATGGCAGGGAGCGCAGGAGATGCACCCCACACTGCCCAGAGACAGCCAGGACCGGAGGCCCCTGCCTGCCTTACCCCCTGACTAAAGATAGATCCAGATGCTCCATGTTATGGAAACTCAGATAGAACCCAGCTGTGGCACATTGTCCAGTAAAGATCCTGAATGTTCAGATTAGACTGGACTCTCCCAGTGTAAAAAGGAAGGCAGAACAGGCTGGAGGACAAGATTTTAAGGATTTGTTACAAGGATAAGCATGAATCCCTTTCATTCTTTCTGTCAGAGGCTGACATGGGCGAAATAATGAGCTTTCACCCTTGCTACGTGAGCACTACAAGGCGAGAATTGATTTTCAAGCCACACGGATCAGCTCATCACACACACTAGGAGGGCACCTGGCAGCAGCACGGCATTTCTGCACCCCTTCCTTCCTCACTGTGCAATCTATTTACACATTTCCTGGTTCAGTAACCACATCTCATCGTGTACCAGTCCACCACGTATCAATCCACCAAGTTAGAGACAGGGAAAGTGGCACCTCCAAAGCAATGCATCCTTCCATGTCCTTCCTAACCATGGGAGAGACAAAGCGTTTCACCTACAACCACAAATGCCAACACTTTGAGCTATAGGAGGAAAGATGAAGTTAGAGCTGGTAAGAAGTTCTCAGCATGATAACATTGAATCTAAATTAGTCCCCAAAGATTTTGGTTCTGGAATGTATGCGGATAATTAATTTTTCAACTGGGATTTTCAAGCTGTAACTTCCAATCCAACTGGGTCTATTGCAAAACAAAACAAAACAAAACAAAACAAAACAAAACAAAACAAAACAGTATAAGTGCAGTAATATCATCATCCAGCAGCTCAGATTAAAAAGAAAAAAAGAAAAAAAAACAGAGAGCAAGATTTTAGAAGCACTGAATACTTGATTTTTTTCCCTTAATAGTTCTAAGGTAAACAGCAAGTCAAATCCTTTTCCTCACAGCCATTCTTTAAACAATCAGTTGCTTCTCCTAAATTTTCCTTGTAGGACAGCAACTTATCCAGCACAAACTCAGGCTTTTGGTTTCCAGTGTTGTGATACCACAGCAGGGCACCAGCTCCCAGCTCGCTGGGAAGGAAGGGGACGTGTGGGAAGGCTCTCACTTTTAAGTAACAGCTTCACCTCCAGCAATCTGCTCCCTCTGAGAGCAAATGTGGGGAAAGACTTTGAGCAATTAAGTCACAGAGTGACTTCACCCAGCAAAGACCACTGTCTGGAGGTATTATAAAATGTAAGTCCCCAGGCTACCCAGCATCAATGCAGGCTTTAACAGTGCTGTGCAATTGCTGCATGAACAGCTGCCCTCCCCAGCAAGGGAGCAAACAGGGAGAAATGCACTGGTCTCAGACTCCACAAACACTGGTCAGCTCCCCAGAGGTGCCACTGAGAGACACCACTGGAGCATTTCCATGCTCTCTATTCCTCTTTGTCCGAGGCTTGCTGAGGTTGGCACTGGGCTCACAGCAGAGGGGGGCTGCTTGTACTTCCCTCAAAACCTCCCTTTCAGGCCACACTTGGGCTTGGGGAAGGAGCTCTCCATGGGCTTGTGTTCAATTCACCACCTGAAACGGTCCCTCCAACCAGGGCAGCTGGAAACCATGTTCCTGTTTGTGCATCTCCCAAAGCTAGACATCTCCTAAGGCAAATATTTGCTAGAAAACACTTGGAATCATTGATTTAGCAACCTTTTACTTTCTGACCAAACTTCTCAGTACAGTACTAACAATGTACCCCAAGAAAATGCTTTGTGACTTGCTTGTGGAGGAGTTCTCCTCACAGGAGAGCTGTGCAGAGCTTACTCACAGCAAGCAATGCTCCCTTCTGAAGGATACTTGGCCTTTGCCAAGTTTTCTTACAATATAAAGAGAGGCCAAGTGTTATTTTGTCTCACATTTTACTTAAATTTTTATTTTTCTAAGAATGTGGACTTTAAGTTGCTATCCCACCCCATTTTCAGAGGATTTCCTACACAACTTTACTGACTTCATGCTTAATACATTTTATTAGCCTATGACATAAGATTGGCCTTTTTCCTGCTCTCAGAAACCACATCCCACCGTAACTTTTTTTCTGAGCATATTCAATGAACAGCTTTCTAAATGTTTTTGCTCTCTGTAATTCAACACCCAAAACAGACAAGACTTATCTATTCCCTGAAAACTAAACTTCTATTTTCTGAAAAGCACACAAGGATTCTTACTATGGAAGCTGGCAGACCTTAGTTAAATTCCCACTTGCAGAAGTAGCAGCACATGGGATTTTGACATTTATTTTCCTCAAATGCCTTTGCTACCATGGTGCACTTGCTCAGACATTTGAAGAAAACCACAAGCAGACAAAGTGAAATCATCTCAGAATTGAAGCAAATCCTCACAAACTCTCACAGTATACTAATTGCATAAAATCCAATCAAACCCGTTCAACCTCACAGAAAGGGTAAAGATTGCTAAAAGAACATGCTGAATATTTAACAGACATGAAAAAGAAGCCATCAAAATTCTCACCAACAACACAGACACCTCTTAAGTGCTCTCAAACTAAACATTTCCTTCTTATTGAAAAAATTCTTCCACATCAACCATTCTTCCACTCTACAATCAGGGACCTTTTATCTTGTTTAGAAAAACACCCAGATCATAATTGCCTTCATCAACACAGCCATGTACAGCACCTGCCCTGCACCTAAGCAGAGAAGATGATGTGCTGTCCCATCCCCTGAACATTCAAAGCTCTGGAGTCATGCCTGAAGAAAGGATTTCACCTGTTGTACGTATGACTGCAGAATGGGGCACTCCAATGTTGGCTGCTCTCTGGTTTTATTCTGGTTTTAGGGGCACAGTAACAACCAAAGCCAGGAGTTCACAGTAACAGGCTGTGTGTAAAGACAACAAAGGACAGATGCTTGTCCCCCCTGAGACTATCATTTGGACAGAGCAATGCAAGTTCCCAATTTTACCAGCAGAAATGGGAAGCAAGAGGCTGAGTGACTTCTCTAAAGTGACACAACAGCTTACAAGGTGGAGCAGCAAATTGGGAAACTGGGGAAAACAAAGGTGTTAGCCAGCACAGTATTTCAACTGCAAACCCGTAGCTCGCACTTCATCAGGTGTCACATGAACTGGCTAAAAGAAATGTCCTTGGGGGCTAGGCTGAACTTCTACGTGTTCACTACTTAAGTTTTCCCATTTGTTTTTAAGCACTCTTTGAGTCTTGTTAAGTTTTAATACATCACATGGCGCCTTTGTTTGTCCTTGTTAGAAATGTCAGTTCACTACACAGGCAAAGCTGAGAAACCATTGTTAGCCACTGTGTTAGCCTTTTGCAAGAAAAAGATAAAAATATATCCCTCTTCTGCCTTTCTTTTGGAAGCCTGTTTTAAAGGTGCCTTAGTAAAACACAGGCTTTCCTTTTAAGGGATTGTCTGGTACGAGAGGAAACAACCTGTTTTAGAAAAACAGTTCATCTTCTAAGCAAGGGGGTGGGATTGAAACTGTGCACAAAATGAATTTATAAGGAAAATCAGAGCCAGTAGTAAACATAAAGATGCATCCTGGTACTCCTGCTTGCTTTTTATGGCTTATCCCCAGTGGGGAAGCTGCTATAAAATGACCTAAGTGAGAAACTGAAATGCAACAGCTCTGGCACTGTAACTCTACGTGGATGTTTTTGTTGCACAGTTACCAGCCTGTGTGGGTTTGGTAAGGCACAGGTGATGCCAGGTGTCCCTTCCCTGGGGCACACCACAGGACAGTTAGGGCAAGGAGGTCATGGTGGTGACCAGCATCCTTTAAAGAAAGCAACAACACAGGCAGCCAGACAGGTGAAGCCAGCCCACATCTCCTGGCCATGCCTGCTCCAGTTCAGCTCTGAGCCACTGCTGTGGGACTGTGGTCAGATACTCACCCCACAGCCCTTGCAGACATCCTGGCCTTTCCCGTACTTGGTGGCAGATGACAGCTCAAGACCACCCTGCAAACACCTTGAGCTGCTGCAGATGGATGAGTTAGTTTGATGATTAGGGGACAATCTAACCTGGGGGTGTTTGCCTCCAGCACCCCCATCAGCAACCCCCTGACTCTTCTGCCAGCAGAGTGTGGGGATGGCTGCACATTGGGAAGAGTGGGAAGTGGTTCAACACCTTTAAGATGCTGGAGTGAGATGATATGTGCTCAAAGCCTTGTTTATACAATTTCATTAAATAAATGCAGCTACAGATTGACATTTTAATTCCTCTATATGACATTTACCAAGGCCTTCAAAACAAACATATTTCCACTTACTTGGCTGCATATGCCACCTTTAAAGCAACAGAGGAATGATTAAATAGGAGTTTGCTTCAGTAAAGTCAGCTCATTTTTTAAACCTGCCTGGTTCCAACCTGCTCATTTTTATTTAAGGTTCTCTAATCATCTCTGGCTGCAGCCTGGCAAGGAATCTCAACAGTTCACACAGAGATTATTATTTTCTTAACAGTCCTTTTATCATTATGATTTTCCCATTTAAACTGCAGCTGTTTGAGTGAACAGGCAGTTACTGGTCTCCCCAGGGTACTTGAATCTGAGAGAGCAGAAGAGACCCTGGTTACAAGAAGTCTTCAGGTGTGTTCCTGCAGCCTCCACACCACCAGCATGAAGCAACCCATCAGGAGCACATCAGTAGGACAGGACAGGCACATGTGTGCTTCCCAGGAGGGGACAAGTGCTTGGGAGGAAAGGAGTAAAAGAGTAAGAGAAGAAAAAAAGAACTGCTTTCTGAAGGTCTTTATTTATAAATTGCCTCCAGGCCAGACACAGTCTTACTTCCTTTTCTTAGAGCTTGGGTGAGATCCCTCACTCTGTCTCTCCTTAGGAGAGCCAAAGGGGAAGACACTGGTGACGAGGAGTAGAGCAAGAAGGCTGGAAAAAGTCCAGTTGGAGTCACTCCCATAACTCTGTTCAGCAGTTTGGGGTCATAAAGGCTAGTCCCTCCTGGCTTCAGAAAGAGATCAAGGAAGGTGAATAATTCAAATTGGCTCTGTTGGAAAATAAGTGCACAGACAGTCACTGCCATGACAATCTCTATGAGCCGAGAGTGCTGCAGAGCTATTGAGCAGAGCCAGCTGGGCCAAATTCCGCTCCCCGTCACACCCAACCCGCCCGATCGATGCTGTGGGGGCACACAGTGCCTTGCGTGCACAAGGTCTCCTTCCCACAGGCAAATATCCGATTGTCCTGGCCTGGCAGCCGGGCGGCTGCGGGAGGATGTGCTCGGGCAGGGAGGGCATGCTGCGGCTGATGCAGTGGGACAGGGCCCTTCTGGGGCTCCTTTCAGGACCCCAGCTGAGACATGCTGGAGGTGTCATCCTGGGCAGACCTGGGCCTTCCTACCCCCCTGCAAAGCCAGGTGACAAGCCTTTGCTTCTCATGCCAAGGAGGACGGCTCCCTGCCTGCTGAATGTGACAACTCCTACCTTTGGTGTGTGTGCTCTCCCTGTTTTTCCTTCATGGACCAACGTGGCCCCTCTCTCCTGAGCCACAACAGTGAGAATACTCTGTCTTGCATATTTTTGCCTCCAGCCTCAGAAACAAAAGGGGAAGCAAGACAGGAATATGACCTTTATGACTTATCTGCACTTGGACGTGTACCAGAACAGATCATCAGGGATGCTGGTTTCAAGTGCTGCTGTAGCTACTTGAGCAGCAGCCCTGTAAAGCCCTAATTTGGGAAGGGCAGCTCCTGGTTCTCATCCTTCAGAGCAAGCTTTCACTTTGGGCCTTCCACCTGGACCACTGTTTTGGTCCTGCTTGCTGGCAAACACTAGTCAGGCTCCAAAGGTCAGGGGTGTGAAAAAGTACAATGCAAATGAAGCCTTTCCAGACAGCAGATTTCTGTCAATAGCAGAGCTGTGCTCTCACCAGCCTCACTCACTGGCAGAAGTGACCTGACTTTTGGGGGTCAAATAGCAGCCCAGATAACTGGCATTAGCTGCCCTGATTTACAGGCAACTTTTTAACCCAGCATTTTGTGCCTGCGTCACCTCCAGCTGCTGCTCCTGCCTCGCTGCCAGCCCTCTGCTGGCACTAAGACAGGAACCAGCAGAAGAGGCACAGATCCCCCTTCCTCTACCTCTCCCTGCACCAGGTTTGTTCTTGAATTTGCACCAGGCTCTGTGCCAAAACAGCAAAGGGGCACAGAGCAGAAGAGACCCACGGGCAAACACCACTCATGCAGGGAAATCATCAGCTCTGCTCCTTTGCTCAAAGACCACCTGAGCCTCCACAGCCTCTCTTGGGGCATGAATGGCACGGCTCATTCACCTGATTAACCAGGTGGAAGGACACTGGGCTCCCAGCCCTCCCACCAGCCCACAGAAAGGAGGGGTGGAGGACCACACAAGCAGGCTTCAAGGGAAAGCACTTCAGTCAGCCATCAGCAGCGCTGCACTCTGGCATTTGCAGGTGTTTTGGAGGAAACTAATTGAACTCTCACGAAACCACTCCAAACATTTTTCCTAAGAGAACATCCTCGCTCATTTGTTTATGGTGGATGCTTTGCACTGTGAGTTGCTGCATTTAGATTAGCATTCAGTGCCATTTTCCACCTCACCCCGTTTCTGTCTGTATTAGACAGAGCTGTCAGTATCTCACCTTCAGTGAAAAGAACATCAATATTCCCTGGCAGCAGGCAGGGGAGGCTCTATGCAAAGCCAGAGTTTTAACAGTTTAACAAATGTGCAGACTTGCAAACCTGGAAACTTGTTCTTGGCCAACTAGATGGCTTGGCCCAACTACCTCCCTCCTTCAGTGCAGCTGCTGCCAGAAGGAAAGTAGAACAGGTTCTCTTCTAACCAGTTTACCTTCTACATGGCTACACTGATGGGACCAACTCCTGAACCACACAGACCCTCCCCAGGGGCTGGTGAAACCTTTCTTAAAGTATATTTTCAAGCAACTCTTCTTCTCCAGCCTGGGCCTCAAGCAACTTCCCCTCCATGGGATAAACAGCTTCTTCCTCAGCTTGATTACAGCAATCCTAAAATTGGAACTGAGGAGCTAACAGGAAGAAAGAGCTGGGATCTTATTGAGATCAACTCTATTTCTGTCATGTTGACTGAAATAGGCAGTTGACCTTGTTCTACTTATGACTACCTCAGTGCAAGCCACAGCTTGCTTTATCACCAGCATGGGACAAGCAGGTACAGCAGGGAGTTCTCGGCACCTTCTGCTTGTCTCACAAATCCCATTCCTCCCACCACGGTCAAGTGACCAGCGGTCACCCCCATGTAGCCAAAGCCAGGCAACGGGGAAAGTGGAGTTCATGTTAATGGGCTCCAGAATTTCAACTCATTAGTGAACGAACAAAGTGCTTTGGGTCACAGGACGAGGTTTTCTCCCTCCTCCTCCTCCTCCGCCATTTCCCTGAGGCAGTGAGCAATAATTACATTCACCATTTTCCTCACACTGATATGACAAACCAGTTTAACTGCAGAGGGTGTTTCTCTTGCCAGTCAATTGTACCAAGGGCTAGTGAGGCCCACTGGAGTTTACATAGCTTTCATTAAAAAAAATTTTCCCCTTGAAAGGGATGAGATTTTAATCAAAACCATCTCCTGCCTCCAAAGAGCCTGGTTTTCCAACCAGAAAACCACTCCTCACTTCCTTCTGCTCTAACAGCTGCCAGCTGAATCCCACAACACACCTGGGATCCCCCTTAATTTTGGCCCAGCAACGGTGATGCTGGGGGCTGCCAAGACTTGCTGGGGGGGTACAGGAGGCCAAGCTCCTGCTAATCCCTGCAGGTGAGGTGATGCAATGCAGGACCAGCTCACGTGTTGCTGCTGCAAAGTTCTTTCCTTGGTAGGTCACCACCACTTTTAACTTATTGTGATGCTCTGGCCTGGCTGAGCCTCTAAAAAGGTTGTTGTTCCAAGGGGAACAGCACGTTCTCTCACCATGGTTTAGATGTCCCCTCTTGCTTTGTGATGTACCAAATGTACCAAAGCCACCAGGAGATGAGGGAAGGACACTGATGGTTGGAGAGGGTAAGAGAAGATTATGGATCAATTTGGTTCTTGCCAGATGAGTCTGTCTCTGTGATGCCTGCTTGCAAGCAAACTTGAAGCAGGCAGACTACACTCCTAGCACATAAATTAGTGACAGCAGAGGGACAGTATAATCAATGGTTGCAATTGTTAAACATTTTATGGCAAATCCTGCTTGGTTTACTCATGAGATTGAGGGACTTCCTAAGGGACTTCTACCCCTCTGGGTAGAAGGAAAATGACATGATGTAATCAAGGCAGAAGAGGAAGCTGGCTTCCTTGTGCCCCCTTCTGAGAGCACAGCAAGCAGTACTTGGCCACAAATACAGATCTTGTGCAAAATGTTTTTTCTCACTTAGCAGGGAGATTACCCAGCTAGGGTTAGGCTGACTGTTCCTAATAGGAAATCACAGTGCCCTTTTCTTATATAGCAAGGCACTAAATATAAACCCAAGTTTCTTTAGGTTTAATGTTAATGTCCCAGGCATTTCTCACGACTTCTGTTTTCCCACGCTGCCGATCCTGCAGCTGATGGATTGTGAAACCAGGGTGCAAGGACAAGAGATGTCAGCAGTGGAGATTACACACTGTGGGCTTGCTTCCCCAGCCCACTGAAGATTAGCACCACACCTACCATCTACTTAGATACCTCCTTGAGAGATTAATGTGTTGGTTGGACCAATAATCATTTCCCCCCTGTTACTTGCTGAAAGCAATTTGGCATGTAGCCACCACCTGACCAGTCCTTTTTCTTGGTCCAGGCCAATTCTTGTAGTTCTCCTGACCTCTAATGAGCTCCTTCAGTCTTTGTAAGTATCCTGTTCTCACTAGGCAGCTACATGGCTATTCCTGAGTTGGCTGTAAAATCCCTGCCAGCAGCAGTGGCGCTGGCTCCAGATCCCAGAAGAAGCATTTTGCCCTTCAGTAGGTGCAACGTATTGGAAAGACGTCTCCTAGTGAGATTTTTACATCCCAGCTTTGGGTTACACAGCTCTGTTCGGCCCATGGGAGTCTCTCAGTGAGCACTGCTGCAGCTCCACTTCAGTGTCTGTGTGTGGGGTTGGTCAGCTCAGCCCTTGTTTCTATGTTCAGCAGCAAACTGCAGATGTCAGGAGCCAGATGGGCAAGCTTTAATCACAGCCCCTTCCCTGCCTCAAAGCAGCACCTCAACCAATGGATGCCATATTCAGGCAGCTGTGGGACAGGCTGTCACTACCCTAAGGATCATCACCCTGCAATACCTTATTGCTCCATCACCTCACCATGGTGGCCTTTTGTAGGTGATCCCTAACTCATGGCTCATCCCATGAGATCTGTCTGGAATGAGTCACAACAGATGAAAACTGGTGGTGCCAGTCCTCCATGGCTGAGGCAGCAATGCCCACACCACCCTCACAATGGCAACCACACTGACCCCCAGGATTGCCTCCTGGCAATCACCACTGATCACCACTGAAAGGCAGTTTTGTGTGGAGTCATAGCAGTGGCTCTTGTCCATCCTAAGAGCATTGTCAGCATGCTGACCAGTCCTCAGTGCTGCCTGCCTGAAACAAGGGAAAGAGAACCTGGTACTCTGCAATCCAATCAGAGGGTGCCATACTCCAGAAGTGGCCTTGCAGGCTCCAAAGTGATCATCTGAGAGATCAGATCCTGTCCAAAGTGGGGGATCATTGGTAGCTCAGAGATCCCAGGTGATTTAAATCCAGACTGTTTAGGTCTAAAAGGGTGAGAAGCAATCCCAGAAGGAAGAATCCAGGGCAGGCCCAAGACCAAACAAGAACATGCCAGGACGCCCATCAGAATTTCTGTTCTATGAGAAACAACAACATGCTAAGATGGGCTGATGGCATAAACAATGCCTGGTGTTTTCCACCTTTTTGTTCAAATTCTGCTCTTCCTCCTAAAACGCTGATCAATTTTGCCTTTATAAGCATTCTCAAAGGACACTGCTTCCCCTCCTTCTTCTCCAAAATAAGGCAATTAATTACAGAGATATAGTAATAAGGGTACAGAAAACTTGCAGGACTTTGTATGTTATTTATGAGATGGTGACTCAGCCTTAAAATGCTGTGGAAGCCAGTGTAAGTAGCTGTAACCTAGCAGAAGAGAAAGGTTCTGATAGCAAAAGCAAGTAAAACAATCACCTGTACACCAAGACAGAGCACTGTGTAAATATTTCTGGGCTGCGCTAATCATTCATGCTGCATCAGGCAAATCAAGCACATTTCCTCGAAAATAAAAAGGATTTTTCCTAGATGAGGGTGTACATTTACTATTAGTCTGATTAAAGCAGTTTTCCTAATTTCCAGACTAATCCTATCTGGCCAGCAAGAAAGTAAAGAACAGGTTTTTATTTTTTTTCCCCCATGTCAGGTGCAGCCATACCATGGTGAACACTGTCATTCCACATAACATATGGGTGTGCTCCAAATCCTCTCACAGGACTTTCACTCAGGATTTTAGTCCTCTTCCTTACTAGGCAGCCATGCCATCCAGATGAAGCAGCCACACCACCCAGATGAGGCACCCAACTGTCCCTGCCTAAATTAGACACCACCCCCGCATAACTCCAGTGCTCTGAGTCACCTCCCTGTCCACTGCTTATCCCTGGAGATCTAAGAGGAGATGCCAAAGTCAACAGTGTGTGTAATTACTCAAGGTTTTAATCGAAGGAGTGTAAAAATAAAAAGTGATGATATAATGAAGTGATTCTTTCTTGATGAGTGTTAATTAAGTCATGGTCACACAGGCCCTGTGGGAGCTGGGACTACATTATTGTCTTCAGGTGGGACAACAGACCCAGCCTGGTCTGCTGAGCCTGTAGCCATTAGGAGATTAATGTACCCTGATGGGCAGCTACCACCCTCACAGAGGGGATTACACCCTTCTCTGGTGTAAGGTGTCGCAGAATGGCTTGGGTTGGAAGGGACATTAAAGATCATCAAATTCCAACACCTCTACCATGGGAAGGGAAACCTTTCACTAGACCAGGTGGCTCCAAGCCCCATCCAACCTAGCCTTGAACACTTCCAGGGATGGGGCATCCACAGCTTCTGTGGGCAATGTGTGCCCATGCCTCACCACCCTCACCAATTCACTCACAAGAGATTCACTAAAGAACCTCTTCCAAAATATCTCATCTAAACCTACCCTCTCTCAGTTTGAAGCCATTCTCACATGTCCAATCACTATACTTCTGACAAAGAGTCTCTCTGTGGCTTCCCTGGAGCCCCTACTTCAGAAGACTGGAAGGCTGCTATGAGGTCTCCATGCAACCTTCTCTTCTCCGTCCTCAACATCCCTAACTTTCTCAGCCTGAATATGCACACACATTGACAACAGCAGCTTCCAGATTCCTGTGTGTCTGTACAGGCACAGCACGTTCAAGATTTATCTTCTCTATTTCTTTACTTCCTACAGTGCAGGATGACCTCTTCAGAAATAAGTCCTCCAAAGGGACTTTTCTTCTTGTATACCAAAGATGTACTTCCCTGCCCACAAGGGAAGCCTCACAACACAACTATTAGCAGCGGCAACACTGCTCAGGGGCTGTAGGGAGGACAGAAAGGCATGGGAACTGGTCTTCCATTACCCTTTTAAGAATAAAGAGCTCATCACCTAAGCTGGTTCAAAAAATAAAAATGTAAAAGAATGAAACAGGGTTTGCATTATCTTAAAAAAAAAATAAAATATATTTCTTTCAAATAAAAAATATTCATCATGGCTGGACAGGGGCCAGCAAATACCACAGTCCAGCCCATTTGAGTGTCCAGAAGCAGCAATAAGCACAGCTAGGTCCACTGATGTCTGCTTGTGAGCTGCTCTCACTGGCACACAGGGAGAAGCTCTGGGGTGCTTTTCACACTCAGCCATACAGCTGCACATTTAGAGGACAAAGCCCTGAGTCCACACCTGGATAATCTCCCATGAAGGTCTGTGCCCCGTAACTGCAAGCCATATGTATAAGTCTGTGCCTGCAGCTAACAGAGGGGGGAAAGTCTATTTACTACTAATTTTGCCAAAAATGAGAGATCTTTGCTATAGAAACCATTCCATGTGTGAGTTCAGTTTTAGACATGATCAATTCTATGTCAGTTTTTAGTTCTGAACTGATTTTAATGGTTGAACCGTAACCACTTGAGCAACAGGGTAATGGAAATCGTCACAAGCCTTATCTGCACCAGCTCTGCCAGCTGCTGCTCTGATGCTGCTTCTGACTTCTGACTTTTATTTCTTTTTCTCAAAAGTATTTGCCTGTTGCCTAGTTATCTGCAGGATGAGCAGAACAGGGATTGAGAAATGTGCGGTGAAATTGTTTCAGACCCATGGAGGCTCTGATAATGAATCACCAAAGCTTTCCCTGCCAGTGAACACATTTTTAATCCCAAGCACAGCCAGAGACCAGAAGAGAAGAGGAGTCCTGCAGTTCCCAGGAACCCCAGGTCTGTCCTGTTCTCTGGCTGGCCCCCTCCCAACTCTTGACTCACACCTTCATTCCCAGGAGGGCCTGAAATAGAACAGAACACCTAGCAGGGATAAAGTCTGCTCCTGATGAAGGTAATAGAGATGTTCCCATCTCGAAGTTTAACAAAATCAGCAGCCCTTTGTGTACCACTCACTGTGCTAGTCTGACTCCACTGCTCATAATTAGCAGCCATTGTAAATGACAGGGGAGTGAGCAATGTCCTCTGTGTTATACATGGAGCAAACACAAACAAGTAACGCTCAATACACAAATAAGGAATTGCTTCATCAGGCAAAGGATGTATGTAACTGCCATCATGGGCCATAAACAACAGGTCTCTTCATCTGTTCCATTTGTCACTGCAAATACAAGTTATCTCTCATCCACAGCATTTCTTAAAAGACTGCATTGTATTATAGGGTTATACATCCTTTCAAAATAGATTAAATAAAAGCTTAGGAGGACAGTGATCTTATGGATATTTAATTCATGACTAACATTTTTCTGGCAAACTGTGTAAATAAAACTTCAGCTTGGGCTCAGGAGAGTTATGGGAGCTTCCAAGCATTCTGTCATCCTAGCTGGCTCAATGTCCTGCAGCCTGGCCTGCTGGGGAACAGCGGGGACCTCGAGCCACTGCTCAGAGGATTAGGACATGCACGTTTCACTAAGATATTCTAAAGAAACACAGATATTCTAAAGAAACACAGATATCAGGAAGAGCTTGGAAATTTTGGTTTAAACAGCAAACTTTGGTGAGAGGATCTTAGTGCACATTTGGGTAGGGAGTGGGGAGAGGAAGGGAAAAGAAGGTTGTTTTAATATAATTGCTTATTCAGCCCATTATAAAGAAAAGATTTTGCAAAACTCAAACGTAGCACAGTGTAGGATTTGGGAACATGCATGTGTAAGCAGCCAGGAGGCTTTGTTTTGATTTTTTTTCCTTGATATTGCTGTCTTCATTGCTACAGTTGCTGAGGTCAGTATATAAAACAGAGAATGCAAGCAAAAAGGTGATAAATGCAACATTTCTCCTTGACAATGTCATGGCTTCAGACTTTCTGGCCGTAAAACTTACTGAGGTCTGAACAACTCTGAATATTAAATAGTTCCAATTAGTGTTGTGTGCACAGGCACATTTGCACACACAAAAATGCCTTTGGCCGATTCCCTCCATGCTACACAAACAAATTGGCATTATGGGCAACCCCTGTGACCAGCTACTCAGTTACGAGCCTCTGACAGCAAAGAGATCCAGCAAAAAGTTGACTGAACCCCTCAATGGACAACCAAGGAACAGCTACAATATCCAAGCCTTGGCCAGTGCTCCTGAAGGCGAAACTCCTCAGTGCTTCTGATTCCTTCTAACAGAGCTGTTAGGAGCAGTCTCATTAGCCTTCTAAGCTAAGTTTCCTTCACCCTCTAAATCCCTCTCTTCTGCCTCTTGACCTCGAGACTCTCCCTGAAAGGAATTTGCACGTGTTAATTATGCCGTGGGTAAAACAGAGTGTTATTACTCCACCACACACTCACTGCCTCTTAATTTTTCTGGGATACTCCCACACTGCGAGAAGCACATAAAAATTTGGTGAGTTAACTTCCCCGATTCACGTGCTAGTTACTGCGTGAAAAGGGCTGTGACAATCTCAGGCAGTTTCAGTGAGCCATTCCCTAATCTTTGAGTTTGATCTTTCCCATTACAGGAGCCTTCCTCCTCCTCTGTGACTTTAACCCCTGCTAATGAAGAAAATGCCTGGGAGAAGAGTCACGCTGGGCCCTAAACAATGAGGTCACCCCCTTTCATCAAGGGACAAATCTTCATCAAGGGACAATATTGCACAATTTGCAATCATTCACAGCAGTGATGACTGGAGTTGATCAGTCATGGCTAGACTTTAAGGAAAAAACATTCATTATCAAGCTATGGAAAAGGGAAACAGAAGGTGACTCATAAGCTTTAACCATTTAAAATCAAAACTGTCACAGGGGTGGTAATTACACTGGGAAGGTGGAGAAAACTTTCAGTGACTATTCTCCAACCTGCATGCAGCTCACACCCTGCCAGGTCACCGCCACCTTGCACAGAGAAGATTTTCTTTTCCAAGAATAACCCTTTCTGGGTGCGAGAGGAGAGGCTTTGCTGAAATGCCACCTCCAGTGGAAGATGTAACGTGTACCCAAGGGTTTCATGGTGCCACAGTTTATCAGCAGTCGGGTGGATGTGCCATAAAACACAGTCACTCCCTATGGACACTGCAATCCCCCCTGAGATTTGAGATTTTGAGAACAATGATCTGCAGAACACCTTCCTGCTGGTACAGTACTGCAGCTCCATAACCTCCTGAGCACATGCTATGCATAAATACAAATTCACAGGTAGGATATCAGGCTCTTGATTTACCAGCTCAGATCTACGTGACAAAATCAGCCAGTTTGCTTTTGTTTTCATCTGAAGATACCTCTCTTTTGGCAGAAAAAACAAAGGATTCCTAGGCTTTTTCTTTGCTGACTAACTTTTTCCCAGGCTTTTAGGCCCACAGAGGCAAATAGATACCAGAAATCTGCTCCCAGCAAGGGTTTAAAGCTGATATTCCAGCGTCAGAGGAGCACAATAACTCATCAGTACTGCACACCCACCACACAGTAGGAGCACCAGGGACAGTATTTCTTGGGACAGCTGTGGACAAGTGTTGGCAAATGTCTCAGACCACTCCTTTCTGCACAGACATTGGGAGCTAAATATTACAGTGCATTTAAATGCCTTTTTATGTCCCAGTTCCTTTAGTGCATCATTTTACATAGCTCCATGGAGCATTAAATCCAATTCTATATGGCTGCATACAAAATAGGAAGCACTATGAACTGCCTGAAAGTTGATACTACAAGGAGAGATCCTGTATATAGTATATTCATATATAATACCCATCCTCCCCCACTATATATACTTTTCATATATTACATTAAAATATAGTACATTAAAAATAAGATCTTATGTTAGCATAAGATATCATGAACTGTGCTAGACTTATTCAACCCTGCTTAGTCACCACAAACATCCCATTTGAAAAAGTGTTGTGAGTAATTCTGAGTGGAAATCAGAAATAATGAGTAACAAAAGCAAACGGTAACAGTGAGGCCAACATTCCCCAGTCACACTGGGCAGAATGGCTGCAATGACACCAAGGTAGTTTTGTGTAGTTTTTATGCCATTTGGGGCTTGTGTCCTTTTTACAAAGGGAT